TATTACTGATAAGAAAAGTGGACTGAGTTTCTTGGAAATTGTGAGAAAGTATATTGCCTTGCGCCCCAAAAACGTACCTCACAGTAAGTTTTTTGTAAATTACGCACAGCAAAAGTACACTACTCAACCGGTGGGGATTAACACTATATATAATATCCCCAGGAAGATTGCAGATTTTTTTAAACTTGCAAGTTCAGAACTATACACGGGGCATTGTTTCCGTCGTTTTTCAGCTACTATGTTCGCAAATTCTGGAGCTGATTTAGTAAAAGTTAAACGTTTAAGTGGATGGAAATCGTCATATGTTACAGAATCTTACATTGAAGAGTCAATACGCAATAAGTTTGCTGTATGCAAGTGTATACTTGGCGGACCAGAAAATCAATCCAGTACCTCGGATCGAGTGTTTAAGCAAACGAGCACAAGTTGTGATGCTCCAAACATAGATATTTCTAATAATGTTAATTGTAAAATTTCAGTTGTTTTTAATCCTTAATGTGTTTGAATTTGTAAATTTTATTGAATAAAACAAAGTTAAAACATTTTATCTACTCTTGCTCTTAAAGTTTCACTTTATCTACCCTTACGGTTAAAGTGATACTTTATCTACTCAAAACAGTTGTTATAGCAGCACTTTAACATTAGCTATGGAAAAAAGTGTATTTATTTTGGAAAATCATTGTTTCATCAAATAAATAAAGTTGGCAATTGCAGGTGTTCTATAAATAACAATCAATCCCCAGAAATTAAAATCAAAAGCAATTAACATAATTTCTTAAACTCAGGATTGAAAAATATTGCTACCTTAACCCACATTTTTCTCAAAACTTTAATTTCTTGACTTATAACCCGTTGCACAAACACTAAGGAAATGTACGTGACAGTATGTATGTCTTTACAGCAACCAATCTTTGCACCACCGCCTATGTTTTTTGTATTTTTGTCGTTTACACAAAGAGCAAGAGCCGCTTAAAGTATATCGTTATCTGACATGTTTCTGATTTGAAAGTAAAACTCATACTGCAACATCGGTGTGTGTGTTCCCATCCCATTTTCAAATTATTGTATAATGTAGTGTATAATGTATTGTATAATGTATTGTATAATGTATTGTATAATGTATTGTATAATGTATTGTATATTGTATTTTTTCCCTACTTTAATTGCATTCGACAAAATCGTACTGCGCCGTTGGAACGTTAGTGGCGGGCTTTATGATTCGCTGTGTATAATAAAACTAATAAAATGTCCTTAAGCCATGTCAAACATTTGATAAAATATAAAAAAATATTCTCAGTATATACGTAGAGATGGAACGTTGCACCAAACTTGACTTGTGCATGAACTTTTTAATTTATGTTTGTTTTTTAACAAATACACTTCAAAGACCAACTTTTTTAACAGTCACGGATAGAAACGTAAATAAAAAGTTAAATAGAATACTTAATGCTTATATATTTGTTGTGAACTTTATTCTCTAAAAAGCGTTTTCTGTACACTAAATTTAGATTTTTTCTTTAATGGCTTTTACAGTTCCTAACCATTTGGCGGGAAAATATATTTTTATTTTCTCAAGTACATTTAAAACGAGTTTGAATTAACCTTCATAATACCATAGGCTCACTGGAAATTTTCACGAGCATGAAAATCTCCTTGTAGCAGTACTTGTAACTTTGTAAAATAAAAAGGATATAAATTTTCGTTGTGTAAGATATTTCCTACGGAAGATTTTAAAATTGTGGGATACTTGGCAGATAGTCTTCGATCGCTAATTTCTGTATTTTCCTGAGCTTCCATTAAAATAACATCTTCATGTTCTACTGTTACATAATCATGCCGTCATTATTTTTGGGAACCACTGAACCTATTTCTCTTAATCGTTGATGAAAAGCTGTAAATATTGAGTGAGTGAGATCACGATTGGGAAATTTTTCAGGGTATCTACATTGTGCTGCTACTGCTGCTGTTACACCTTATTTCATCAAAAACTAAAGCTTATCAGCGTATTCCTTATGAGTAAAAACCATTTTTGTGGAACTAAAATTGTTATATTTTAATGCCATAAAGTAAAAAACTAAAAGATAAACTTCGCGAACATATCATAATTTGACAATGAAAAACTGTGGTTATACTTTTTTGACAACTCAACTGTCAAAGCCAACTAGTGCAATAAATATCAATTTAACTTTCATGGCTTTCTCTTCTTTTTCTTTTTCAGCCTTCATTTATTCAATGTTGGACATATGCCTTCTCCAATTGCTTCCACGCTTCCCTATCTTTTGCAATTCTCATCCACTGCTTTCCAGCTGTAGCTGTTATATCGTCCCGTTATATCCATCTCTTTTTGGGTCTTTTCACGCTTCTTGGTTTCTTGAGGTCTTCAGAATGTCACTTTATGAGACCATGTGTTGGTGTCTAGTCTTGCTACATGCCCTACCTATCGCCATCTCAATGTCGCTATATTTTTTACGATGTCGGTTACTTTAGTTCTTCGACGTATTTCGGTGTTAGGAAATTTGTCTCTGAGGCTTAAATTTAACATGGCCCTCAACATGGCTCATTGAAATACTCTTAATTGTTCTGTGATTTTTCTTGTTATTGTCATAGTTTCCAATCCATAAGTTGCAAATAGTAGTATACAAGTGTCATAGGTTTTTCGTTTGAAGTGTATTGCGATTTTTCTGTCTTTTAAAATGAAGCTCAACTTACCAAAAGCAGCCCATGACAATTGTGTTCTTCTTTTAATTTCTAGGGTTTGATTTTTCTTTTCGTTTTTAATTGCATATCCTAGATAGTACTATGTCGTCTGCGAAACTCAAATGGTTAAGATATACTCTATCTATTTTTAATCCCTTTTCGGCCCAATTTAGTTTTTTAAAGACATTTTCTAATGCCAAAGTAAATAACTTGGATGAGATGGTGTCGCTCTGTCTCACACCTGTGCCAAGGTCTATTTTCATAGTTTCCAGATCATCATCTATTTTTACGTATAAGGTAGCATCATCGTATATATTCTTAAGGAGGGCAGCATATCTTGAATCTACTCTGGCGTCGTCCAATGCTGTTAAGAAAAGCCCATTTCTCAATACTGTCGATTGCTTTGTGATAATCACCAAATTCCAAATATAGCAATATGTTGTACTTTATTGTTTTTTCAATAACTGTCCGGATTGTTTGCAATTGATCGATAGTGCTAAAACTCTTACTAAAGCCTACTTTCTCTACTGTTTAGTATGCATCTAGCTAAGCTGTCAATATATTTGTTATTATTCGGGTTAGTAGTTTGTAAAGGTGTGACAATAATTATTGGTCGATAGTTTTCTATATTTGCGGCGTCCCCTTTTTTATGGAGTAGAATAACCTCCGAATTTTCCATGCTTTTGGTATTTGTCCTTCCAATAGGCATTTATTTAGTAATGTTCTTATTTCGTCTTTTAATGAAGTGCCTCCCATGTTTAGCATCTCTGAAGTAATTTTATCTTCTTGTGTTTTCCCATTTTTCATTTGTTTTAGGGCGGCTCTAATTTTTGATGTTATTATTTATGGGAGATTCTCTGAGCCCACATTTAAGATATGTTTTGTATGGTACGGTATACCGTGGTTCAGAATAGTAGAAGTATACAGCTTCTCATAAAATTTTCGAATTTCTCTAACGATCTCTTCCTTATGCGAGCACGATGTTCCACGGTCGTCTTTTATCTTTATGATTTATTTTATTCCTGCCAGTGGATTTACATGTTTTTAGTACTTTCATGTTCTTATTGTTCTCTATGGTTTCAACAATCTGATTTGTTCTATAAGCTCTGAGTTTTCAAATATTTTTCTTAACGCTTCTATTGAGCGCTTTATACTCCGGGTTATCACTGTTCGTTCTTCTTTTTTTCTCTATCTGTTCTAGAGTCTCGGGTTTTAGTTTAGTTTCTTTTTGTTTTCTTATTCTGCAACAAAGTTTCTTAGTGAGTGTTTGTATGTCTTTATTAATTTTCTCAGTTAGTTTATCTATATTCTTGTACTCAAAAATATTTGCTAATAGTTTCACTTCTAATTCCTCTAGATGGTCGTTCGTTCTCATGGTTCTAATGTTGTATGTAGCAATTTAAAATTTTTGAGAATTTTAAGAGTTTGAAAAAAATGACTTTCATGACTAAAAAACAAAAAATTTTCAAATCGATTTTTCTGGACTACGGTGTATCCTATTGACTTAAAGTAGAAGTACCTTTTAGTACTAAAATACCTAAAAATTTAATTATCTAGTATCACGAATGATTAAACGATAATGAAAAAAAGTTATTCGTTAAAATAACCATTGATCTACCCAAAACGGACGCCTATGATCGGTACTAGAAATTACCAATTTATGAAATCGATTCAATTCTGGAGGTTAAATAATCGTACCAGATTTCGTTTTTTTAAATAAAAGCGTTCTGGAGATATTTAAAAAAACTAGTTATAAAGCGCCATCTTCAAAGAGCTCTAGCTCTCTTAGGAAGCCTTTTCGGACTAGCTGAGTTAGATTAAATAGTTTTAAAATTATCTAAGGAATCTTCGCTCTTCGTTTGTCAGGAGAGTTTCTAGACATGCTGTATAATGTCCTGTTTATAGCGTCATGCGCCGACCGGTTCAAAGTCTCCATGTACGTCTATCGGTTCAGTCTTTTGGTCGTAGATCTCTCTCTGACATTACTTTTTCAATCATCAAGCCATGTTGTTTTAGTTTTTCCCCGTTCTTTTTGCTCAGGTGGCTGCCAGTCCAATATTACCTTCAGTAGGTGATGGTGGTTCTTCTGTTAATGATTTGTCTTATTCTTTTATTTCTTACGTGCACCACTCTGGATACGCCTGCTGATCTGCGCCGAAATATTTCTAGAGCAAGGAGTTTTTGTTCCATTCTCTTAGTGAGCCAGGTTTATTATCCTTTTACACAACAAAAGTACAACGTTTTTAGAAATTTGCAAACAACATCAATATATTTTGTACTTATTTACCATTTATCTGTTTTAGGTTCTGGCATTCATCTGCATCGTATTGGATATCGTATGCCGTACAAACCAAACCCAACCAATACAAGATTCCTCCCAAAGGTAATAGAATTTATACGTGGCCCGAAGACTTGCTTAAGCCCGATCAAGTATTTTTGTTAGATGTCGATGAAACTATAAGAATGAAAAGGATATTTGGTAGAAGTGAAATAAAGAATATTACTGACGCTGAAGTTGTATTACACAATCTTACAGATTTTAGAAATAAGTAAGAGCTATTTTAAGTTATCTTTATATATCGTATTAGACACTTATTGTTGGTTCTTAGAATAACGTGGGGATGTTTATAAAAATAACCCAAATAGCACATACATATCAAATATAAGTTAGGTATTTATTGAATTATAATAAGCACCTACATTACTTTCATTATACATCAATTCTCTTTACAAAATGTCACACAGGAACTTCCAATTCAGAAATTATTCATATTGGATATCTACCAAACCGACGTTAAACATGATCTAACCATCTTATTCTATGTTCTTTCATTTTATCATCAATTTGTGCAACCCTTTCTTTCTCTAGTTCTATTCCGTGCTTTCCAATTACTGTCTGGACTTTTCCTCATTTTCCGCTCGGTTAGCATTCAAGTACTTGTCTTGCTATGTTATTTCGATCTCTCCCCAAAGTATGGCTCATCCATTTCCATTTTTTTTTTCTTGACTGTAGTAAATATATTAGTTTGTTTGGTTCTTTACAAAAACTTTTAAAGATTTCACTATACTTTAAACAATTTAAGTACATTTAATTTTATATGCTTCAGTTCGTTTTTAAGTTCCCCAAGTTTTTTGTCCTTCATCAATATGTTGCTATAAATCATATTTCTTAACGTTATCGTTTGAAAAAGTAGCCTGGTCGATTGCGGAGATTCTTAGCAACCTCTGTCCCTTTACCTCCGAGACTGCTTTAATAGCCTGGTTTCAAAAGACTATCTGAGATTGAGTGCTTTGCAATATTTTTGCTACCCTGAAGTAGATTTATCCTATAAAAAAAGAAATAAATTAAATTTAATTTCTTTCCTACTTTCTTACTGTCTCTGTGTCGATTATAATAATAATTTATAAATATACAGTAATATTTAGGTTTTTCCTTCTGTTTTTATCTCTTCTGTCCTCCTGTCTTCCTGTATGATTTCCCCATTTATTATCCTTTTAAATTATTATTTGGTCCAATAACCATATTTTGTATAAAATAACCTAAGCCTCAGTAGTTACAACTAACCCTGTAGTTGTAGGCAAAGGTTATTATTAAGATTTCGGGTAAAGTTCTGTATATGATTTTTCTCCACCTACGGCTGTCTACCTACTTTTGAACATTTCTTTCTAGAGCAACTTTCGTACTGCTGCAGAATGGTAATGGGTCTTTAAAAGTTTCTCTCTAGCCTCGTTTTGTCAACAAATCACCTAATTAATTTCCCTGTGCTTCCTTATACCCGACACATACACTAGACCACTTTATTATCTCAGTTAATTTATTATTAAAAGCGAATTCTATTATTAGATTTACTGCTTGGTTATTAAAGCCATCACCAATCTGGCAAATTTGCTGTAATGCAGTCGGTTTAGACGAAAAAATGGCCTAACCTTGCATGGAGAGCTACCCCAAATTATTCTAACTTCTAGATGGTCCGTAGTAGTCAATCAGGCCATTAGGGTCATCATTAACAGGCAATAAACAAGAACGAGTCTGTTTTGTAAACAAAGGCACAGTTTTTTATCGACGTTCTTCGGACTAGATGTATTGCAATCAAAATGGAACAGTTTTTTGTGTGAACAAGCTACGACCAAAAATAATGTTATAACAATGAAAAAAACGTGGTGTTCAAACTCTTTTACATCAAGGATTATACGTGGTGATGTAGAAATCAAGTGTACGATTGAAAATGTTTACAGGCTGGTCATGCATCAAACTTACCAGTTATGCGAACGAGAGGCTAGCGGAATTGTCTCGGAGAAGATGCGCCTATGCATCTCAATTATCATTATCATCAACAACATCAACAGATAATTTAATAATTATGCGTTGTTACTATTCTTCGCCTTAACTCGGAATATAAGTCCCAATAAAAATAGTAAATAGTAATAAAATCCAACAAGAAAATAGCTTCACAACAATAATAAAGTGAAAACATCCTGATCTAATACAAATGGCATTGAGAGACACTTTATAATTTTTTGTATAACACCTGTGCGGTTAATTACTATTTAACTGGGAATAAGCCACAATTAAAGATAAAAATACGTTTATTGACGTTTCAATTTCCACTTCGGAAATCGTTCTCAAAATACAAACAGTAAATTAAACAAATTTTGTTTTTTGTTACATAGTGAAAAATTCTTCTAATAATTTAATTTTATCTGACTCATTTATATTGACAATTCAGACATATATTATGCATTTTAAGGTAGACGACTTTAAAATGATATTGCCAATATTGTTGAGTTGCGCTCCTGTGACGACTTTATTTATAAGATAGTTCATTCGATTACATGAAATCAACTTTAACTTGAGAATATCCGTCAGAAAAAATCATAGCATGTAATTCGTCTTTAAAAAGACAAACACATGACATGATAATAGTAAAATTCTCCTGTTAGTGATTCCATAGTTAATTATGAGGAAAAAACCAGGAAAAAAACCTCATAATACTATCCCGACATTGTAAGTATTTGTTCGTGAATTTAGTTTACCTTTACCAACAAACATCAAAATTCTGATTTTATATGTTACGTTATTTAAAAAACATAAATGATATGTTACTGACTTACTAATACTGGTATTTTCTTATTAATAACTTCCTCTTTCAATATTGGTAACCAGATCCTACTACATTCTGCCGAGGAATTTGTGACACAATTGGCCTCATTTAGCATAATTAGAGCCGCTTCTTTGATTTTTTTTTACCATTCGTTTCTTTTAGGATTCCATTTGAATTTGAATTTGAAAAAAAAATCAAAGAAGCTGCTCTAATTATGCTAAATGAGGCCAATTGTGTCGCAAATTCCTCGGCAGAATGTAGTAGGATCTGGTTACCAATATTGAAAGAGGAAGTTATGAAGTTATTAATAAGAAAATACCAGTATTAGTAAGTCAGTAACATATAGAGGATACATCATTTATGTTTTTTTAAATAACGTAACATATAAAATCAGAATTTTGATGTTTGTTGAAGGTAAACTAAATTCACGAACAAATACTTACAATGTCGGGATAGTATTATGAAGTTTTTTTCCTGGGTTTTTCCTCATAATTTACTATGGAATCACTAACAGGAGAATTTTACTGTCTTCATGTCATGTGTTTGTCTTTTTAAAGACGAATTACATGCTATGATTTTTTCTGACGGATATTCTCAAGTTAAAGTTGATTTCATGTAATCGAATGAACTATCTTATAAGTAAAGTCGTCCCAGGAGCGCAACTCAACAATATTGGCAATATCATTTTAAAGTTGTCTACTTTAAAATGCATAATGTATGTCTGAATTGACAATATAAATGAGTCAGATAAAATTAAATTATTAGAAGAATTTTTCACTATGTAACAAAAAACAAAATTTGTTTAATTTACTGTTTGTATTTTGAGAACGATTTCCGAAGTGGAAATTAGAACGTCAATAAACATATTTTTATCTTTAATTGTGGCTTATTCCCAGTTAAATAGTAATTAATTTACAATGCCACAAGAAAATAGCTTCAGAACAATATTAAAAAACCTGTGCGGTGTTTGTATACTGCTATCTGGTCACAAATGACCAATTATCAGTTATTTTTTTACCTAACTTAATAAACATCAAATAGCTTAATCTCAGGGCTTACCCTATGATTTACTCTTATTTTATCTATCAACTAATGCACTACAACTAACATGCAATAACATCACAGCATTATACTCTGCTTTTTACACTAAACTGTTACACAATTACACTACCACAAATGGTTTTGTCCTTATGAGTCTTCTCTTTAGTTCAGTGTTGTCAAGAAACTGGATTGCCTCGACATTGAGGTTACTGTTACGGATATACCAAGGAGCATCAACAATGTTTTTCAGTACTTTGTTTTGGAAATTTTGGATAATATGTAGATAACCAGCTTTGGTACAGACCCAGCGTTAGCACCCATATACCCATACTGGCCTCGGTACTGGCTTGTAAATGGATAATTTATTATGAATGGATAATGTAGAATTTTTTCCAACCAGCCAATACAATTTCTTGTATCTAATATTAAGCTCTTCTCCTTTCTTTTCTACATAGACGTTCCAGCGCAGCTTCGCGTCTAGGTTGGTGCCCAAGTATTTTGCTGATGTTGCAGAAGGAACTTGGGTATCATTAATTCTAACAGGAAAGTTTTCTATTTTTTTATTTGTAAAGTTAATGTGTGCAGATTTAGTCTCATTTAATTTTATTCGCTATTTCCTGGTCCAGTTATGTATTTTATTTACTAATAGTTGCAACTTATCAGTCGCTTAGTATGGCCTATCGCTAGTATGGCTGTATCATCCGTGAAGATAGCAATAGTGTTTTATTGGAGCTCTGGAATGTCACAAGTATACAATAGGTACAGGACCGGACCTAAGACACTCCCTTGTGGCACGCCAGCTTTGATCTACCTTAGGTCGGTGTACACTCCTTCTTGTTTACTCTTTAATATCTATTCGCAATGTATGACTCCAAGATTTCTAAATACTGTTTAGGCATGAACGTTCTTAGTTTATAGTTTAAACCCTCATGCCAGACTTTATCAAACGCCTGTGCTACGTACAAGAAGAATGTAGAGCAGACTATCTTTTCGTCTAATGTTTTTTCTGTTCTATTTGTTATTCTGTGAACTTGATCTATAGTGAAATGTATGTTTCTGAAACCAAATTGACTTGGTATAAGACTTTTTTTTCTATTATTGGTTTTAATCTTTTCAATATAAGTTTATCAAATAGTTTTGACATCACCGGAAGGAGTGATAGTGGTCGATAGGATGTCACTTTATTAGGAGGTTTATCTGGTTTGACGATCATAATGAATTCGACTACTTTTCAGAGTCTGGAAACATATCTTAATCTAAAAACACCATTTATTAGGTGTGTTAGCTTAACTATGGCTTTTCTTGATAGATTTTTTAATGGTTCTCCTGTTATGAGATCATATCCTGGAGCTTTCTTAGAATTCATTCAATGATGTCAACGTTATTCTTTCTTTAGTTTGGAATGGTTCTTCCCATCTTAGTTTTTCACCATTATTGTCGTTGGGTTTAAACGTGCTTTCATAATGATCTGCATTCTGCGTTCTGCTTTCTGTTCGTTACTTCTAACCCAGTTGCCGCTTTCCAACTTGATAGGAGGAGAATAAATCATTGGTCTCTTTATTCTTTTTGTTGCCTTCTATAACGAATAATCTGTGTTCTGGTCAGCTATTAAATTACTTAAAAAGAATTAATTTTTGAATTTTTTATATTCTGTATCTCCGGTTTTAGTTTTTGTGTAGCATTATTTAGACTAGTTTTGTCTCGTGGAGCTCTGTATTCCTGCCATTTTTTTCTTAACCATCTTTTTTCTACTATAAGTTCTCTAATTGCTTTTGAATAGTTGTTCCTTTTTGTTTTAGAAGTTATTGTGGGAGTATTTTCCTACGCTAAGTGTTGGATATTTTTTATAAAACCTTCTAATTCATCAGCAAGTTGCCTCGTGTTTTTCAATGACACAACAAGATTAATTTTGTGTTTAATGTTTATTTTGAAGCTCGTCCAGTCAGGTTTTTTATTAGTCAATATTGGATTGAACTATTTTTTAATCACTGTATTACTCATAGTTAAAATTATTGGTGAGTGATTAGAGTTCATCTCCCAGCCATCATTGGTATCCAGATAGTTAGCTGAGATATTTTTGTAAATAAAGAAATCTAAGAGGTCTGGAATTTTGTTCCTATCGGTAGGCCAGTATGTTAGTCTACCAGTAGAGATTACTTCACCCTTTTGTTCCTTGACAGCAGACAATAGTTCTTATCCTTTATTTGTAGTTAGACTAGAGATCCAGTGATTATTCTTTGCAATAATAAGATTTTAATTGATTATTTTTTAGTGAATATGTAAATTAGCATATAAAACATTTTTTTAAATGATTGACTAAACTGTATACTTATATATTACTCTTTTTATTTTAGCATATTATTAGCATACAAAAATATGCAAAACCCAGGAGTTATTATAATAAACTCTAACGTTTCAATTCCAGAAGTTATAGACGACGTTTACTCCAGAGTAAAAAAATACATAAAACTTTAGGTTCTCTACAGTTCTATTTAAAGACTAAAAAAATTTATTTATTTATAACTGTGTTTATTATTTTTTAATAAAATATAACAATAAATCTTTGTATATCTATCCATTATATAGCTCTACAGCCCTATTCGAGACCTGGCCTCCCTCAGCGAAGCTCCCCATTCGTTATAGTCGATGCTTTAGAAAAAAAACGTGCATTCATTAGTGAATTTTTGAAACAAGCCCAGCGTTATATCGGGCAATGCCTGAAGTAGCCTCCAAGTACGTGCAACTCCAAACTGTTGGTTATAATTTTTTTATGGTCCTTAAAGTGCAAAAATGGTGTTTTTTTAAATATTTTCATTTTTATTGTATCAAATCAATATTTTAGGGCAAAATATTATGAAAGTAAATATAAAAAGCTTTAAACTGAGCTATGATATATTAAATTTGACTCAATAGTTTTTGCAAAATTAACGATTGAAAGTGTAAAAATATCGATTTTTTGCAATTTTCGATTTTTAAAATAACTTTTGTTGATATTATTTTTTATGCACAAAGCAAGCATTATATTGAAGGTCTTTTAATTACAAATCAAATGAGACTCCGTAAGATCCGATCGATCAATTCCTTTTCGAGATACGTTTATTTGATTATAAAAATAGTTAAATGTTTATAAATTTTGCCGGGCCAGAACTTTTTTGTAAAAAATTGCTACCGTTGCGCCATTCCATAGACTCAGGAGTTAGTTCAATGAATTTCGTTTAAACTACCTTTGAATCGTGTGGCTGGACATTCTTGGGTGATGTAGTGGACTGGAAAGAACTTGATCACTGCAGTTCCTTCCAAGCATAAATTAAGCTTGTTCTACGGGAATTTTTCCTCTGACAGATTGCAAAACGCTCGCGTAAATTATCCTCTTAAAAATCTTATAATAGACACTTAGTAGTCTTAGCAATCTTTAAGCAGACTAAAACAATCTTATATCAGTCTTAGCAATCTTATAGCTCTCCCTCTTGTCGTTTTTCCATTACTGAGAATTGTAATTTTTTTCAATATTCCTAACAGTTGTTCTCCATTGGTCACTATCTCAGCTCTCTGTGAAAAAGAGCAAAACTTTTATCCGTAAGATATTAGAAGCGAATAACTATAAAAAGGGAGCAGTGTTACGGAAGTTCCGTAAGATTTATTCCACATAGAAGAAGTCTCTTGACGAAAGAGAAGAAGTACTTAAGCTACTAACGTTACATACATGTAACGCAGAAACCGTTAAAATCTTCAGCCTAAAATTTGGGAAGTGATTCTAATTTTAACTGGATGGCGATGCATCACTTCGAAGGAAGACTTGTTTACTAGTTTTCGGCGTTTGGTTCAAGGATTTGATCTAAACTGTTTATTTGGTTAAGTTTTTGATATGACAATGTTTATTATTTAGGGTAAAAATGAATCTCACGTTTAAATAAGTATATTTTGACTAATCTTTTGTTATTATATTTTATTTACAGTTTTTTCAATTGAGACTAAATGAATTTCCTTTCTTAATGATAATACAAATTTTTCGAAAATTTATCCTGGTTTTGTAAATTATGCCTTTAATTTTTGGTGTTCGAAACTTTTAGAATTTTATCGTGTTTTTTGTTCTAAAACAGTATTTTCTCTTCAAAAAGTGCTGAATATAATTGATGCTGTTGAAACTTTAGACGTTGATGCTATATACTGAACCCACAGAATTTAATGTACTTACATACGAGAAGTCTGGTGATGAGAAAGCATCATGACATTTTTATATCGGCAGCAACTGTTTATTGGCTTTGTAATCACTATCAATAAATTATAAAATCGGTTTCAGGTGAACGATGAAATTGTAAAATTAATAAAATTAAAATTTAATAAAAAGTATTAGTACCTAATTACTTCATACCGTACGAATTATTTTACCAAAATAGTAGAAATCTTATTTTATTGAGCAATATTTGTTGTAGTATTTTGAGAACAACGCTGTTTTTAGTTCTCGTTTATAGAATTCGAGTTTATTTCAGAGTCAAGTAAAAACACCGAAATTACTGCTCTTTTTCAAGTTGACATTTATTTTCAAGATAAGGTTTTCCCAATATTCGTATATCCCTTAACTAAAACTAAAAGGACTAGAAAGTTAAACTTCTGCCTCTGGTCAGAAATGTTATGGATTCAATAACTGTCACAAGTTTTACAATAAATAGTATCGTATAGGTTTGTTTTTCTATACTCGGCTTGCAATATTTTCTTACTGTATAAATTTACAAGCACTACCGAGATGTCAGTGTTTTGCTTTTAGTAATACGGTTCGAATAATAAAGAGATATTAGTCCAGTTTATTACATTGCTTTCTACATCTATCGTAATAATCATTCATAAACTTCAAAAGGGCTATTGAAATGATAAGTAATGTTTAAAGGAACAATAATTCGAACAAATAGTTTACATTATTGTTATTGTGTTCTATGGAAAAGTAATAAAAAAAGTAATTTAGATGAAATAGGCACATAATATGCAGAAAAATTAATATTACAATTTAGAAAGCATAGATCAGACTGCCTTTACTGTGTTAACACGAATAATCATAAAATATTGGGGATTATGAATAAAAATGAGAATTTAGTTTATACTAAAAAGTTTGTATGATAATCACCTGTTTTTTTCGACTCAAATTGAAGCAAACCATCATCAAGGAACCCTGTATCACTTCCTGTATGGGTGATGACTAAACGCCGTCAATCTTGCCAAACTTTTCCAACTGTATGACCTTCGTTAATCCAGGTTTCATCTAAATAATATATTTTGCGCCCAGTGCTGCGAATTTTGCGTATTTCTTCTAAATATTTTCTTCTCCACACAATAATTTCATTTTTTTTTCTAATAGCATACTTTTTCTATTGCGTTTCACATATCGAAAGTTCATTTCGCGCATGGTCCTGATTAAGACTCTACGAGATATCTTGAGTAAGGCGTCATCGTTTTGGAGCTCTTGAGAAATTTTTTTCAGTGTTGGAATTTCACTCCGAAAATAAAATGAATGAGTTTTTCTACGTATAATATTTCTTGTCTCGTCATCTAAAACAATGCTTTTCCTACCTCTAGTTTTACCTTTTTCTTGCTTTTGATTTTCCGATGCATTTGTAATTACACGATAAATACAGCTAACGGATACTTTTGTTAAGCTGCTACAAATGTCGACCGCTTGGCTAATATTTAATGCAATTTTTCTGCCGACAATTCCTTCATAAACGTTTCGTATCATTACCTTCTCTTCGAACGTTAACATTTTCCGTCTCTTTTGCGACTTTTCATTTTTGGAATCAACATCAGAATTTTGTTTTCTTCTCTTGGAACAGCTCGGTTTTTCGTCCATTGTATAAACCAAAACTCCAATAAAACTCAAATCAAATAATCACAGAATATAACTATGTAAAACCATATATACATAAAATATAAATAAACAAAACTACATATTTTATATAAAACTTCAATATAAACAGAAACTCCAACCAAATAATCACAGAATTTATCTAAACATTTACTATAAAACGACAAACTATAACACTCGTATTATCAATAACACAAATTTATAACAAATATATTCACAAAATGGAACACATACATACCTTCCGAAACGCCAATGTAATTGAACAATATATGACTTGATTTCTTCATTAGCATTACCGTCAAACAAGTTTTACAGCTCTGTCTGTGAGTCGGAACTCCGTCGCTTAGCTCAAGGTTGCCAAGAGATTGAAAAGTAATGTTTTAAAATATCGATTTTTATTTTATAAATTTAAATATGTAACAAAACGGAACATATAAATAAACATATAAATTTATTTTATTATAATTATGTGATTAATTTTTACTATTGAAAAAATCATGTTTTTTGGTATTTTTATGTCGTTGATAATCGCTGCGTGGAAGAATACAGGTTTTGTATGACCATAATTATTACTTGTGAACACGAATTGGCTACACTGTACGACAACTCCTGGTCAACTTTTCTATAGAGAAGCACAAATAAATATACTACTTATATATTCTGTAATTTCTTATGAGAAAACGCAAATTGCAATTAAGAAAACGGGTAGTTTTCGAGGGCCGCTGTGTACATTTAAATTTGAGGATATCTCGCTTTTAAACTATGAAATCACTCTCTCAAATTGTGGGATTTGAATATAGTCAATACTCCACGTGGTATGAATAAAAAACAGAAGTAGATACCCGGCTTGAGTAAGTACTCTTGTGTACAGTTTGTTGAGAGAATTTTCTCATTTTTGATATAAATCAAAATATCTTTTTTACTTTTTAGGATGAGAATCTACTTCATAAATTTGGAGTCTAAGAGTTACCAGACTTCAGTTTCATCGTAGCAAAGGCTGAGTTCATATTTAATTTGCGTACAAAAAATAATATAAACCAAGAAGAAGTACGTATGATAGTGACTTTAAAGTATTATATAGATGTAATAAAGAAAATGTTAAGTGGCCTTCAAACCCTTTTTTGAGTAAAGAATCAGAAGAAACGAGACATGGGGCTATATGTAACTTTGAAGATTCACCCACCAAATTTCGAAGATTATTTACTGAAAGAGTTTAAGTTTATAAAGCTTTTCTACCTACTACCCAATCCCCCTAATATCTTGCTGCCCATGGATCAGCAGGTGATTTCTAATTTTTAAGAAATTGTACTTGCATATGTAATATAGAAGAGATAAATGCATGGGTGACAAAACGAAAACAAGAGTGGAACGAACACATCAATAGAATGGCAGAGGATAGAATAGTCCAAATAGCACGAGATAGATAAGTCACCAAATGTACAAAGAATTAGTGGCAGACCAAGAAAAAGATAACGCGACAATTTTTAAACAATTTAGGATGCTAATATTGAAGAGTAAACCGGCTTAAAAGCCTACATACTAGAAAGAAGAAGAAGAAGTTGTACACCAAGCACATTTTTAGGCGCTGCGTTGACTTTGAGTTGACGGATAACATAACCCTTCGAGAGTTTTGGAAGAACCACTTTATGCCTAAGAATTATTGATCAGGCCTAGCTTGGTGTTAAAGGGCCTTAAACTCTCCATG